TCAGATTTCTTTTGGCCCAATCCTCTAATTTGTCTAAGTCACTCTAGACCCTATCCCTCATGGACGCTGACTTCCCCTCTGCCCTGTGGGTGCTCATTGCCCAGCCCCTGTAGCACCCTCGCCCTGCCCCAATTCCACCCCTTTCCCCCAAGTCCTCGCCCTTGCCCCGCCTCTTTACTGCCACTTCCCCTGAGCGAGCCGCATCCCCACTCCTCCTGCTTCCTCCTAAATGCCGCCAAACAGCTGTTAGGCAGCAGGCGGGAAGTGCTGGAAGGGGGAGTAGCAGGGACTTGGTTCCTCCCGGGGAGGAGGAGGTGAGAATGGGGTGGGGGGAGCTTGGCTGCCAGTGGGCGTGGAGCACCCACTAATTTTTCCCCATGGGTGCTCCAGCCCTGCAGCACCCACAGAGTCGGTGCCTATGCTATCCCTACCCTCCAGCATATCTGCCTCTCCCCCCCAGCTTAGTGTCCTCTGCAAATTTGCTGAAGGTGCAATCCATCCTATCATCCAGATCATTAACGAAGATGTTGAACAAAACCAACCCCAGGACCGACCCTGGGGCACTCTGCTTGATACCAGCTGCCAACTAGACATCGAGCCATTGATCGCTACCTGTTGAGCCTGACAATCTAGCCAGCTTTTCTATCCACCTTATAGCCCATTCATCCAATCCATACTTTAACTTGCTGGCAAGAATACGGTGTCAAAGTCAAGATCTATCATGTCCACCACTTTCCCCATATCCACAGAGCCAGTTATCTCATTATAGAAGGCAATCAGGTTTGTCAGGCATGACCTGCCCTTGGTGAATCCATGTTGACTGTTCCTGATCACCTTCCTCTCCACCATGATTTTTCCAGGGACTGAGGTGAGGCTGACCGGTCTGTAGTTTCCCAGATTCTCCTTCTTCTCTTTTTTAAAGATGGGCACTACATTAGCCTTTTTCCAATCATCTGGGACCTCCCACAATCGCCATGAGTTTTCAAAAATAATGGCCCATGGCTCTGCTATCACATCAGCCAACTCCCTCAGCACCCTGGGATGCATTAGATCTGGCTTCATGGACTTGTGCATGGCCAGCTTTTCTAAATAGTCTTTAACCTGTTCTTTCACCACTGAGGGCTGCTCATCTCATCCCCATACTGCGCTGCCCAGTGCAGCAGTCTGGGAGCTGACCTTGTCTATGAAGACCGAGGCAAAAAAAGCATTGAGTTCTTCAGCTTTTTCCACATCATCTGTCACTAGGTTGCCTCCCCCATTCAGTAAGGGTCCCACATTTTCCCTGACCACCCTCTTGTTGCTGTAGAAACCCTTCTTGTTACCCTTCACACCCCTTGCTAGCTGCAACTCCAATTGTGCTTTGGCCTTCCTGATTACACCCCTCAGCGCTGGCTCTAGGCACCAGCAAAACAAGCAGGTGCTTGGGGTGGCACAGTCCTAGGGGCGGCATTCCAGCGCCGGCCCTGCCGCCCCTAGAAATGTGCCCCACCGCCCCAGCTCGCCTCCACTCCGCTTCTCCCCCCCTCCCTCCCAGGCTTGCCATGCACAAAACAGCTGTTTGGCGCAGCAAGCCTGGGAGGGAGGGGGGAGAAGCCGGTGTGCTTGGGGGAGGCAGCGGTGGTGGAGCGGAGGTGAGCTAGGGCGGGGGATTGCATGGTGGGGAGCCACAGGAAGCAAAGGGCGGGGGGAATGTGGCATGCCCGGGGAGGAGGTGGGGCTGGGGATTTGGGGAAGGGTTTGGGAAGGGGCGGAGTTGGGGTGGAGCCGGGGGCGGGGGGGGCACAAAAAAAAAGCGGGGGAGGCCAAAAATTTTTTTGCTTGGGGGCAGCAAAAATCCTAGAGCCGGCCCTGACACCCCTGCATGCTTGAGCAATATGTTTATACTCCTCCCTAGTCATCTGTCCAAGTTTCCACTTCTTGTAAGCTTCCTTTCTGTGTTTAAGCTCACCGAAGAGTTCTCTGTTAAGCCAAGCTGCCATTTTTGCTATTCTTTCTACATATCGGGATGGCTTGTTCCTGCACCATCAATAAGGCTTCTTTAAAATACAGCCAGCTCTGTATTGGGCTCAGAGGGACAGTAGCGCACAAAGGAGAGTCCTTCTCACCCTTCTACCCACAACAGCTAAAAAGCGATGCCCTGGATAAACCCTGCTAAGCTACTACGTCACCAGCACTTTTGTTTTGAGAACTATTTTATTCAGGTACTCAGCACTGGGCTATGAGGCATTATTAATAGAAGTTTCCTTTCTAGAAAACTGGAGGAAGCCTAGGTTAAAGGAAGAAGAATCTGTTGCTTGCCTGCCAAAGCAATTTCTATATGAACAAGTTAATTGAGGTAAGACGACAAATCCTGCTCAGAGGCCTCATGTGGAGAGGGGTAATTGACCTCCCCACATATCTCCTTCCCACTGTTTAATTATGTTTGTTTTTTTCTGCTGCCTGCCTCTCTGCCTGCAGCATCATGTCTCCAGAGCTGCACTACTCTCCCCCTGCTGCCTGATCTCAAAGCTATCCGAGGCAGGCAAGGCCTGGGGTTGAAAGACCATTCTGTTGGGAGGGCTGGAACTATCTTTCAACCCTGATTCAGATATGCTGCTATTCTACCTGGAAGGTCAGGGCAATGCTAAACTGACTGAGATAGCATGTAGCACTTTCACTTTGCCAGTGAAACTAATGGCCACATAATAGCACTGAGGCCAAGAACCCAGCAGGATTCACCAAGTGATCATCCTGTCTGGATAAGAAGTACTTCCTGAGTTCAAGGGGGGAATCTAAAAAAATAACAGAGATTTGGAAGGGATGTAAGCCCTCATGCTTCAGGCCATAACCTCCCTCTAACAATTGGGGGTTAGGAATAAACTTTCTCTGGGAGCAGGCTACCCTGTAACCACTTACTGGGGAGTTTTTTGTACCTGCCTCTGAAGTATCTGGTGCCACTCCTGGAGACAATTGGTCTGATCTAGTCTGACCATTCCTATGCATTTATGATGGCAGGAAATAAGTTGGCTTGTTCTTGTGACCTGGTTATAACTGGCTTTCTCCTCTTGATTCTCATTCTCTGTTTGACTCCCATGCATGGTGTTACTGGGGTGGAGTAGTGAGTGTTGCTGGAAGAGTGTGCTGAATGCTACTCTTCACCTTATAAGCTTTTTCATTCTTTTTTATCTGCCTGCCCACTCTCTAGTTACTTCTAAGATATACCAGTTTTTCCCAAACTTTTCTCCCCCTATCGCTACCCAAATCCCCTATTTACCTGTGAAAGGACACTTTATAAACAAAGGTTTCAGAGTAGCAGCCGTGTTAGTCTGTATCCACAAAAAGAAAAGGAGTACTTGTGGCACCTTAGAGACTAACAAATTTATTTGAGCATAAGCTTTTGTGCTCAAATAAACTTGTTAGTCTCTAAGGTGCCACAAGTACTCCTTTTCTTTTTATAAACAAAGAGGATATAAGATGATGTACAGTGCCTCAAAATGGGCCTGTATCCCTCTTAACTTCTGAGAATTAAATATATGGCTAAAGGTTTTTATATGCCTCAGAAAATGCCTTAATTATACAATGTGTCGCTATAAATTCTATGGGATTTTAATATAACCCCTGGAGTTTGTGAATGCTGACCCCTGTCATAGGACAAGGATAATCACTTTTGAATGCTGACTGGATCATGTGATGGGGGGGTCATGAAGAAAGTTCACTTTTATATTGGCATCTCTGTGTGTGTGACCTTTATTTAACAAGATCCTTTAGAAAATGCCTACCCTCCTGTTTGCATCCCTGGTCTATATGAGTGCACACTCTGAGATGTGCTATGCATGTAATGCCTTTCCTTCAAACTTCTGTCCCTGATCCATTGTAGGGCACGAGAGGTGTAGTACAGCCTACACCAGCAGGTGTGCAACCGCCTGTGTTCATACACACTCCATAAGAGAACTCATCTGAGGGGTGTTGCGAGATGTTGGTTGATGTTTGGCTGTGTGCCTGTTCCATCTGTGTGATGCCCCAGCCCTGCACAGACAGCTGGCATGGCAGACCTTGAGCGAACTACCAATGTCTTAGGCTTTCTTCCTACTACATTCCCCTGCTTTTTGTCTTTTTATGGAGAGGATGTTTACCCTTTGTCCTGGAAAAGTATAATGCATCGACTGAAGATGGATACTCTTCCAAAAATGATTAACTACCTGCTTTTTTCCCTTGGCCTATAGCAAGGGCATCCTCTTTCATCTGATTTCTTCTTTGTCCAGTTTGTAGACAGTCTTTGGAATGAGAACAGCCGCTCCTTGGCAAGCAGGTTAAGAGTGAGGGGCAGGAAGTGTGAACCCCGTCTATTTATTATCTATATGGGGGATAGCTCCTGATGGTGCATGGGTTGCCCCGGGGCTGAGAGTCACCTGGATACCCCCTGCCTCCCTTGAGAGAGAATTGCTTGCGTTTAACTGGGTGTCACCTCTGGCCATCACCAGCCTGTTAAGAGCCCAGGGGGGAGAGATTGGGTAACTACCAGATCTTACAGGCCGCCAGTTTAAAAAAATCAAATCTATTAATAAAACACTGTTCAACTGATACCTCCAGATAGGCGGGTTAGGCAAAGTGAAATTCAGCGTTTCATTTTAATGGCGGGGAAATGTGGATTTTATGGGGGTTTTTGTGGGAGAAGTTTGTTTTTAATCACAGAAAACGGGCGTGCCTTGCTGATGATACTAAAGGATGGAGGGGAGGAAATACAGCTCCCGCTGTTTAGAATCCAAAACACAGAACACTTCCTTTTTAGAAAGTTAAGGGGCAGCAGTTTTAAGACCGTAACATTTCTTCAGCGGAGCCGAGGCTCGAACCCCCGTTGCTCGCTCCTCCTGCGGGTCTGGTCCCCAGCTCCTGCCCTTGCAACAACGGGGCTGGGCTTCCCGGGAAGCGGAGCTTGCGAGGAGCCGCTCCGTGCCAAGGGCAGGCGGTGGGCATCGGCCCTGCCGGCGCGTCACTCGGCTAATGGGCATGTGCAGACACGTCGCACATGCTCATTCGGACCAGCTCCGGAGTCGGGACATGTGCAGAAGCAAAGAGGGCTCATTGGGCAGGTTCTGCTCTGGCTGCTCCGGGAGCTTTTCCTGCTGCTGCCCAGCCGCTCACGGGCTCTATAAATAGTTTCCCATCCCAAAATGCTCCGGCCGCTACAGCGGCTGGCTAAGAGGCGGGCGCTGCCTCCCTCGCCCGGGGCGTAGGGAGCCCGGAGGGACCCAGGCGGAGTGCGGTAAGGGGGACGCGGGGGAGGGAGTGTTGTCTCTGGGTGGGGCTGGCAGCGCGGGGCGCCTCGCTCCTTGCCCCCTCCCCGGGGGTAAATACAGGGCAGCAGCTGGAGCGCGGCGCTGCCGAGTTGCCCGAGGCGGCGGAGGGCTCGGGTGCGGGTCTGAGGGGGAGCAGGGGAAGCTGCCGGCTGGGTTCGGGGCTTGTTTACTGCAGCGGAGTCCTGGGGGTGCTCGGGGTGCTCAGAGCCGCGCTAATGAGCCCTGTCCATCACCCGCCCCCCCGCGCGGATCGCCGCAGAGCCTCGCGCCGCTTGCCCCTGGCTCCCTTCCCCGGGCCAGGAGCTGCCTCCCGCCCCGTGCCTGCCCCCAGGCACCGGGGACCCGCCTCGCTCCCAGGCCGGCCGGGGCGGGCAGCCTGCTGGCTCTGGCCCGGAGGCGCAGCCTTTCGGGAAGCGCTTGAGCTGGGCTGCTCGTCCAAAGTTTGCGCGCTGGGGGAAAGGTCCCTGCCTGCCTGTCACAGCACCACGCCGCCGAGCCGTGTCTGGCGGAGCCGCGGAAGGAGGCGGGCTGGCCTGGCCAGGCTGCGAGTCGGGGACTTCCTTGTGAAAGGAGCGAGCGAGAGAAACCGCGCCTGTCTTTCTGCGATGCTGAATTCTTGCCTATTTCTGTTTTCCAGACCTGTCTGTCTAACCCTTGGATAAGCTCCCTGCATTCTGAAGCAGCTCCCGTTCTTCCCAGCCGTCTCCATAGACTGTGTGCCCTTTTATTGCCACCCTTTTCTGATTTTCCTTTCCTTGTGCTCTACCTTCTGGACTGCTGCCGTTGGGGTATTTTTGGAGGGGCGGCTGGATGGAGCATGGTTGGATTGTCTATTCCAGGGGTAGGCAACTTATGGCACACGTGCCAAAGGCGGCGGGAGAGCTGATTTTTCAGTGGCACTCACGCTGCCCAGGTTCTGGCCACCATTCCTGGGGGCTCTGCATTTTAATTTAATTTTAAATGAAGCTTTTTAAACATTTTAAAAACCTTATTTACTTTACATACAACAATAGTTTAGTTCTATATTAAAGACTTATAGAAAGAGACCTTCTAAAAACGTTAAAATATATTACAGGCACGTGAAACTTTAAATTAGAGTGAATAAATGAAGATTCGACACACCGCTTCTGAAAGGTTGCCGACCCCTGGTCTATTTTGTTAGTAAGCTGTGGGGCCAAATGCTGCCCTTCCTTAAACGCCATAATTCTGCCCTTCCCTAAGTAGATGTGTTCCAGCTAACATCAAAATGCCTGTTCCTGCCCCTGTAAGTCCCATGCAGCCAGATCAAACTGGAGGAATCGGGGGAGGCCGGGACACATTAAGCTCCTTCCGTTTGTGACACCAAACTAAGATGCTGTCTCTGTAGATTGTGCAGATCTAAGAAAAAGAGGGATGCCCATCTTATGAAGTGCTTTGATCAGTAGTTAAATGGTATATGCTGGTATTTTAAATTGTGTAATTAGGCTTCAGAGTTAATACCCCATGGAGATTGATGGAGCGATTCACCTTTCTGAGCTATTTTTTCAGGCTTGCTTGCTTTATTTATTTGTAGACTCAAGCAGAAATCACTAAATCAGTTTACGTTCTCTTCAGAATCTGAAGTGTGTTTTGTCTTTTGTTTCTGCATTTGTCATTTGTGTACAACCAATTGAGCCAAGGTTGGAGCAGAATTTGGCCCTGTGACTTTGGGTAAGAGAGGTTCAGATTTCCAAAGCATGAAACTTCTTGTTATCCCTTTTTTTAATTTTTAAATGTTGCTTGAGAAGGGGGAATACATTTGGCTAGAGCCAGGCATACAGGAGTGATGTGCAAGATTCTCCCATGATGCTCTGCCAACTTGCCTCTCTCCTGACCTCCTGCCCCCCCTTGCCATATCTTTCCTCGGCAGAGTCTGAAGGTTTTGGAGATCAGACATTCACCAGGGAGCCAAAGTGACCATCAGACTCCTTTCAGGTGTTGCCTAGATAGGTGATTTTTGTGTGGTTTTTTTTTTTTCATCTTCTCTAGAAATGGAAGGCTATTGCTGAGCTGAGGCAAACAACAGCCTGCAGGCCTGCCCCAGGCGACAGCCTTGTTAAGCATAGCATATACCATGGCTTATAGTAGAAAGACGCAAGCAGATTCTCTGTGCTCTTAATACACGTGGGGAAGGTGTATGAAAAGTCGGAAAACATGGCTGTTCTAATGTGCTCCCACCTGTCTGGCCAGTGGGAACACATGAGAAGAGAGCAGGAACAGAAAGACTGAGAGGGTCAGAGGAAAGCTACACAGGAAAAATAACTTTTTTTTACAGAAAACCCTCCAGCAGAAGAATGGTAGGTATGCGCTTTCCCTTGTAGGATGGTTAGCTATTTTTGACAGTCTCTGTGGTTATTCTTCTTCCATTCTTTCTGTCTCCAGCTGCTGCTGTTTTTTTTTTTATCCTGCCAGTACTTTGGGTATATCTACAGTACAGTGGTACTGATGCAGCTACACTGCTATAGTCCTGTAGTGTAGACACTTCCTACAGGAAGGAAAGGGGTTGGTCTGTCACTGTAGTAAATCAACCCCCTCGAGAGGTGGTAGCTAGGTTGACAGAAGAACTATTCCATCTACCTAGCAGTGCCTATACCGGGGCTTAGGTTAGCTTAACTACATCTCTCAGGGGTGTGAATTTTTCACATCCCTCAGCATGTAGACAGATCAACCTACATTTTAGATGTAAGCCAGGCTTTTGTCTCTTCCCCACTTCTCTCTGCTGCTGCTTTTCTGCTCCATGTTATCTTCTTCCCATGGAGTTCATTGGGATGTTGGCCCTTAATGTGTGTCTGTCTCTTGCATAGGCCCTTGAGTTACAACTTAAATTACTATGTTGTCCAGTCTCTCTTCCAAAATCAGTGAAAACGAATGTACTAGGAATATTATGTGACACACACTAAAGCAACCTGTTTGGCTGTCTTCTCTTCAGAGTGGAAACTCTCTGGGGCAGGGTCTCTATGAAACATAGAATAGTTAGTCTAGCACAGTGAGGGGCCTCATTCTTGGATTCAGTTGGCAACTAACCACAACCATAATAAATGGTCATACCTCAGTTATTCCTTTTCAGATGCACACACTCTGTATAGCTAACTTGAAACTAAAGGTGGCGAGAACCAACAGTTCTGCAGCTTTTTGTTGTTTGTTTTGCAAATCTTTTCGTAATGCTCTGGATACAGCGTAACATTTTCGTTCAGTATTTACCATCCCATCTGCCTTGAAATGGGAATTACAAGCACTTAAGTTATCTTGGTGCACTCCAGTATTTCTTTAATAACTTGAATGTCCTCTACTGAAATGTAACTTTCTACAGTAACACACCACTCATTGAATGGCAGCAGATATCCTTATGTCTCCTGTAGGAATAAAACTCCAAGGGACTATTCTTCCTTTTTCCCCCCTAAAGTACTCACACCAGGATCCCATAGCTGCATCTGGATTCTGGACTCTAGCCCTCTTACTTACACAGTTGCTTCTGCGCTTAGTGTAGACCCAAAGAAAATCTGAACTGTATTGGAAGCAAGCCATTACCTCTGGCAGATTGTGCTCTTCCATTCCCCCCAGCCCCTGCAGCCTCACGTAAGACAAAAATAAGACCCTAAATGTAAGATACCAGAGGGGCTAATGACAGGTGGGTGCTATCCTAGCCTCTTTGTGAAGGCTGCTCATTAAAAGATGGTGTAGTAGGACTGCCGGCAAGACTGAATCTCCATGAGACGAAACTTAAAAGGGAAATGACCTGGCTGAGTCACTCCCATGTTTGCCCAGGCGCTCCGACCGACCTCACCGAGGTCAGCTAAAAGAACACCCTGGAGTACAGCGACAATGGCTACCAGTCATACTGCACTGTCTGCTGCCAAAAGGCAATGAGCTGCTGCTGTGTAGCAATGCAGTACCGTGTCTGCCAGCCCCCAGGAGACATGCGGTGATGGTGAGCTGAGCGGGCTCCATGCTTGCTGTGGTATGGCGTCTGCACAGGTAACCCAGGAAAAAAGGCATGAAACGATTTCCTGCCGTTGCTTTCATGGAGGGAGGAAGGAAAGGGGGAGCCTGAGGATATGTACCCAGAACCACCTGCAAAAATGTTTTTGCCCCATCAGGCATTGGGATTTCTACCTAGAATTCCAATGGGCGGCGGAGACTGCGGGAACTGTGGGATAGCTACCCACAGTGCTACGCTCCGGAAGTCGATGGTTTCCTCAGTACTGTGGATGCACTCCGCCAACTAAATGCACTTAGAGCATTTGTGTGGGGACACACACAATCAACTGTATAAAAACACTTTCTACAAAACTGACTTCTATAAATTCGACCTAATTTCGTAGTGTAGACAGCCTCAGACTGCAACATCCCTTCTTTATTGTCCCTTACCATTATCTCACTGAAATTCTTACATCTACCACGTTGTTTCTCTGTTTGTAAAAATTGCCATGCTTTCTTGGAAGCAGAAAAGACTGTACCTTTTGGCTGGTGGTATAGTAGCAACACAGAAACAATAATCCATAAGTCTCCCCAAGGAACAGAGCTCTTCCTTAAAGGCATATACACTATCTCCAATTACATCATAGTGGTGCCCTTGCATTACAACTCAAAAATCACTTCAGTCTTGACTAAATTGAATATCTGGACCTTCGAGTTACTGTTTGGAAACAATGAGAAAAGATATTGCGCCTCCCCCCCCAAAAAAAAAGGGGGGGGTGGGGGGGGAAACTTGTCTAAAGAATTTGTGAAATGGGCAACACATGTATCCAAAGCCTAACAATGAGCTGCTGTGAAATGGTGTAAAACTTCCATTCTGATTAAAAGTGGGTGTTCTCACTGATTTCTCTTCTTCTTCTTGATAACTTGACACCTCAGGACTAATTTAGACACTTTCTCCTTTGTGACTTCATTCCTGCATGTGGTGTAGTTTTAACTTTTTAAGCACTGGATCTGGTGTAATATGTATTGT